GGACACCTATTCATAGTGTTACTGCTTCATTTATATTTCTTGGTAAAAAAAAAAATTGATATTAAGATATTCTTTTTTTTCTTTTGTTTTATTACAAATGTTCTTTGTCTTACAGGTACAAGTTACATATCAGCACTTGTTTTTGCTTGGATAAGTGATGGTAAATTAGGTCGTGCAAAAACTATTATTATCGGTAATAAATTTCATCTATATTATAATGTTTAATTATGTTCTATAGGTTTTATTCTATATATTATTGGTTATGTATTTATTTCATTATTTTCCGATAATAATAAGTATAATTTGTATAGTACATTTTGTGGTAAAGTAAATTTAACAAGTTCAATAACATCAGAATTTTTCGAAGAACAATGTATTACTCAAGTTCTTTCAACATTAGTTTTTACGTAAATTTAATTGTTTTATATTTTGAGAGAAAACAAAAAAAAAAAAAAGCTTTTTTCCTTTTTTTGATTTTTCTCATAGTGCTATTGGTGTTGGTGCAGTACAATCTAATATGGCTGTATTTGGTGCTGAACAAATACGAGAACAAAGAGCAACAAGAAAATATTTTGATAAATATTATGCTGCAATTAATACAGGTGGTCTTATTGCATTTGCTTTTATTGCTTATGCACAACAAAATAATAGTTATTTTATTGGTTATATTGTTCCAACAGTATTATTAATAATAGCTTTAATATTATTTTTAATTGGTTATAAATTTTATATACATATTCAACCACATGATTCAGTTATTAGTAATTTTATTCCTGTTTTTATAAATGCTTTTCAAACATGGAGAAAACATCAACAAAATAAACAAACATTAATTACTAATCGAAGACCGTCGAATTCTTCAACATTATTAGATTATCAAATTGAAAATAGTGATCAATTATCATCAACAACAAGTAATCAATCATGGTCTTTTTTGGATTATGCAAAAATACCTAATCAAGGACGATTTATTGATCGTATAGTAGATGATATTAAATCACTTCGACGTATTATTCTTGTTTTTCTTCTTTTAATACCTTATTGGCTTGTCTATTTTCAGGTAAAGATATGTTCATAGTTTTAAAAAAAATACAGTAAAATTTTTCTATATGAGCATCTCCTAATTGTGAGTAACATATACGTGTAGCACGAGAATAAAAAATGATGTTATGTGTATTACGTTATGATAAACAACCATGATCAGCTGTAGATATTTAGAAAAAAAAACAATATTAGACAAGAGTAACAGTGCTCGATTTAGTATCTTGTCTTTTTTGTGTTAATAACTGTACTTCTTTGATCTCAAACTGTCCCAGCATCTATGAAAATCGCTTTTTGAAAGCGATAGCTACTATGTATAAGTAAATATTCAAGCAAAAGAAATATAAGAAATACGTCACATTGATATTTAAAAAAAATCAAGATAAGACAAGTATCACAGGTGCATAAAATGAGTCATAACTTCTGTATGTCAACAGCTGTTGCGTTTTAAACCAGAGTTAATTCTAGCAGGTCTTGATCTCTATATAATCATAGCCATAATACATAACAAATATCTTTTATTGCATAGAACAAATACAAAAAAAGTAAAAAATATTAAATCATATCAACACATACTGATTTTCCTCTGATTTAAACAGTTGAATAAATAAATTGTTGGTAAGAAGAAAAAGATCATGTCGTGCAGTCGACAGGTGATTACAACTGAAACTCTCCCAATAATAAGCACCTTCATATAGGAAGTATTTTTGACCGGTCCTGAATGTGTTCACATTCGAGAAATTTTATTGTAAAATTTTTTACAAGATAGTTTTTATTTCATATATTTATTTAGATTGAAACAACTTTTCTTGTACAAGGTGTACATATGAAAGTAATAAAAATTCTTCGTACAGACCATAATCAACATTATATGCCTGTTATTTGGCTTTCACTTGGCGATCAAATAATTATTATTGGTAAATTATTTAAAGCACTTCATTAGAATTTTATGTTGCAATTTGTATAAATTTCGTTAAGAACGACTATTTCAAACAATATGAGATAGATAGGATACAGTTACACATCCAATGAACGATAGTGTTTTATACATTTCTATGAGAAATAATTAAAAAACAGTATGACAACTTAGTGAATTGAAAGTTTTAGAGCAGGTTTCTTTGCTTTAATTATCAAATCTGAGTCAAAAGATGATACGATTCCATCAGATATTGGAAAGATTTAAAGTCTAATATTTTTCTGAAGCATCATTTAAAAGCCTTCCAGATATTTCGTCGCTGTCATTCCGAACATCCATCTTTGACATCGGATGTTCGGAAAAACATCTAACGGATGTTCAGAATGAATTATGTCGTATGACAGAGTTACAAAAAGTAGATGTTCGTAACAGAAATTATCTAGTGTTCGAATGCAAACATAGGGATGTTCGAAAACAAAACAAACAGTGTTCAAACGGAGTTGGATATAGAACTGTAAAGAAAGAAGAATAGATCTCATAATCTCGAAAAAAATAATAATATTAGTTATTTTGATGTAAAAGTGAATAGAAGTTCGTAATTCAGTACACACTTTCACATCTGTAACTATGTGTCTAACATACTGTATACAGTGTTGTGAAAGGAAGAGCATTTCGAACATCGGGTAACTGGAACTAAAGTGCTGCACCAATAAGAGAAGCAGATCTCCATTCGAAACATCCGTTAAAATTATCCAGCTCCTCATACAGAAATGTGTGTGTGTTTTTACCGTCCCGAACACCCTTTGAAGAAAACGAATGTTCGGAATGAAAAGTACCGACGAAACGTCAAAATGTCCATCTAAAAAGATTGTTAAAGTATAGGAGTAGAAATTTGGATGACATCTTGAGGGTTGAATTTAAAATACCAGTGTTTGAGTCTTCTTTGTCCGAATTTACTGTAACGTATGACAAATAAGATTTTTTATCACAGACATATCAGTACATTGGAAGTATAGGTTGAATAATGCCTTGATTTATAATTATATACCGATTCATCGTGTTTTCCCATTTCAATGGTGCATGGATTGCGTTAACAGCTTTTAATTACTGAGATTAAAATAGAGAAATTTTTAATTGTTATTACCTTTGTTACTTTTTCTTCGTTCTATGTAGTAAATAAAATAAGAACAGAATTCTACTTGATATACTTATATTTATTCTTATCTTCTATCTATAGTTACAATCTTTTTTCTCAATACATTCGTTTATAAACGTCTTGAAGCAAGTGGACGATCATTTTCAATAAGATCTCGTATTGTTATTGGTTTGATTGCAGCATCAATTTCTATGTGTATAGCAGGTACAATCGAAATATTTCGTCAAAAAACATGCGATATACAACCACCTATTCTACAAACTATTGGTATCTATTAGATGATTATATTGCTTTTTTTTGTATCTTTGATTTTATAATATAGGCAAAACAAATTATACAGCTGCTGATATGTCAATATTTTATCAATTTCCACAATATGTTGGTATTGGTCTTTCAGAAGTATTTACTTCTGTTGCTAGTCTTGAATTTGCTTATATGGCTGCACCACAATCAGCTCAATCATTAATAATGAGTCTTCGATTTTGTTCAGCTGGTATTTCGTCATTTTTTGGTTCTGCTTATGTTGGTATATTTGTTAAAATTAAAGAAAATCTCACTTTTGATAATTCAGAAGTAAGAAAAAAATGAGATATGTTTTGTCATAGAATTTCTTTATGTATATCTTTTTTTTTTGTTTATAATTTATAGTGTAAAGCTCACGATCAACCGGAATTATTTTTTATCTATTTCTTTGTTCTTGCTGGCTTTCAATTCATCTTTATTTTAATATTTCTTGGTTGTGATCGACAATTTAAATTACTCAAAGTATCAAAACAAAGATTTAATACACGATTATTTGTAGCACCTAATTCTCGTTCATCAAGTACTTGATTATTAGTTGTTGGAATAAAATTTTTTATTCATTTCTATTGTTTTTTCTTCTGTTTATGTAGATAAAGTTATTTTATTTTTATCTTTTCTCTTTTTTGAAATCTTTAAAAAAAAAAAACTTAATTAAATATCATAGAAGTATTGAACAAATATATCTGTTCAAATAAATCACCAATTTATGAGATAATCTTCTAATTTAAGTATTCTTACAAATTATTCTAAAAGTTTTTAGACAAAAATAGAAATGAACCATTCATAAATTTCTTTGTTTCAAAATATTATCATATAAAAAGAAATGTACGCGTGCGTCTTCTCTTCGGTTCCATCAATCACATCCTAGTGAGCATAGTTGATAGGACTTCACCCGTAGTTAAGTTGTGGACGCTTGTGATAATAGCATTTAGACACATTCGAATACTTGAAGTTATTAACGATTTCATTTGAAAATTGATTTCAGTTGAACCAACTCTTCGAGTTCGATACTATGGAATTCGTATATGTGACAGATATATATGAGAAGTAGTAGCTGCTTTAGAGAAGAGATGATAAAATATCACAACTAGGAAATTTGATGATCAAAAATATATTTTCTTATCAGAAACTGTAGTGAATACTTTTTTCAATATTGCTAGGGCGATTTGCGGCAAATTTAAAAGATGATTACTAGTAAAAAAAACAAGTATTTATTGGGGTGGCTCTAAATATTTTTGCATTTTTATTTGAAGAGTACATACAATATTAAAAGAAATAAACCAAAGTACGTAGTCCAAATAGTGTCTAGTATCGGTAAAAAATTTTAGCTCTATTCGACACAGTATCTCAAAGAAATGGAACGAAAAGTGGAACCATTTTTATCCTTGTACTGTCGACGATATTGATCGACCGTATTGTGTTTTCCTTCAATGACATTCATTAAAAGTAGATAAAAACATACTACAAGATGATTGGATGATGATGGTTTGACTTGATTATTCGATGATGGTAAAATACTCATAGAAAGTGTTTTTTATAATTTTGAGTTTAAAATAAAATATTTATCTTGTTAATTAAGAATATGATAATGATTAGAATACAATATATCAAACGTTCGTTTCTGTCGAACATAGTCTGAAAAGAAAAAAAAACTAGATGATAATGTCCATAAAATTAATTTTATTCGTTATGATGAAAGATGACAATGTCAGTGTATCAATGAACCATGTCTGAATAATGCGGCGAATAGAAGAAAATGTATTTTGAATAGTACATAATAATTTTATGATGCTTGTATACATATATATAATAAATGGTTGTGTTAGTAAAATGAAAAATGATTTTAATTTTCCTGTTTTTCATCGATCTTTTATTGAAAACATCATAGAAAAAAGGAAATAAAATTCTGTTCTTAAATATGAAGAATTGTTCCTTTTGCCATCAAACGACTTAAAGTGTCATCTTGATTTGAAGGATAACTAGGTGTGGAGAGCAGTGGCATTTGTTCAGAATTGGAAATATATGCATATAATGGAGGATTGTCTTGTTTATTTGCTGAGAATGATGTTGATGGTGGCGGTTGAGATTGTTGTGCTTTATTAGGATTAAATAAAGAAGCTAAGGATGATGAAGGATTATTAGGATGGCTAATATTTGATGATGGTACTACTTGTGTAGAATTTTCCATGACAGATATCACATTTGGACTAGTGTTAAGTAAATGAAGAGCATGTTGAATGCTATTTAGATCGGCTTCAGTAAGTACAATTGCAGAAGAAGAAGAAGAAGAAGCCATTGATGGATAATAATTAAATAAAGATGATGGTTCATTGCTTAAGTTCTGTAATAGAGAAGAAGTCATGTTATTTGGATATGAAGAAGACATAGAATTCGTGATTTGTGAAACTAATGCAGGATTAGTTGTTTCTGAGGATAGTATATTGTTATGTGTCTTTGGAGATAAAATTGGATACTGCGAAGTTGTTAATGAAGAAGGTATGTTAGCTGTTGTATTCATGATATTAGATGAAGATGATTCTGCTCGATAGTGTGCCACTCCTTGACGGTCGATTGTGAATGGTACATCTTCGTTATCATCAATAGTTTGATTAAGTATTCCATAATGTTCCATATCAACGATTGGTATTGAAGAAGATGATGATGGATAAGGAGGATAGAGTCGTTTGTAAAATGATGGAATTGGCGTGAATTTAAATTCGCATGATAATGATTTGTTTAATGAAGTAATATTAAAGTCTGAATCGGATGCATTTTTATCTTTCCAAGAGCAATTCTGATATTGCCAATTGTCTTGTTGTGGTACTGTTGAAGTTTGAGATTTTTTAATTTCACTTGATGATGTTGATTTTCCAGAAGGTTTTGTACCCCAATATGGATTGACCCATGAATTTTGTATTGAATTATTTGATGATACTGGTTTTTGATTTCCAATTCTATTATTTTGTTGTGTAAATTGAGAATTAGTTTGATTTGATTTTGGACCCCAATATGGATTGACCCATGAATTTTGTGCTGCATTATTTGATGATGCCGATTTTTGATTTCCGATTCGATTATTTTGTTGTGTGAATTGAGAATTAATTTGATTTGATTTTGGGCCCCAATATGGATTGACCCATGAATTTTGTATTGAATTATTTGATGATGCCGATTTTTGATTTCTAATTCTATTATTTTCTTGTGTAGATTGAGAATTAGTTTGATTCAATTTTTTACCCCAATATGGATTGATCCAAGTTTGATTCTTATTGTCCGTTGTCTTCGAAAAAGTTTGTTGTCGATTAAATGTTGATTGACTTCGAGTATTAGCATCCGATGATGAACTTGATTGTATAGAATCAAGATCACTTTCAGAATGTAAAGATAATTCTGGTGATGATGTTAGAATTTGACGATTAACAAGTGTTGGTGTAACATAACCATCAGAACTACCATTATCATCTGCTATATATTTACCACTAGGATTTAATGGATTATTTGATACTATTGCTTTAATATGCATGTTTGGTGTCCATGATAAATCATCCATTTCATCTTGATCATTAACTAATATCGAACCTGGAATAACTTGATGGATATTCATAGGTGATGGAGAACTTTAAAGAAAAACGAAAAAAACAAAATTGACTCACAAGGAAATATATCCAACTGTCAGACATTTTTCGAATTCATATTATGACTACGAGTAGATCTCGATGAGATTAAGATAAGCTTAAAAAATTTTCAAATCCATGATCGATTGATAAAGAGTTATGGCGGTCTAAATGAAATTATTATTGAGAACAAGACATTTTCAAAAAATTCAAAACAAAGAGTTTCCACCTGGAACAAAAATTTGTTTCTAGATACCTTTGATAGTCCTGAAAGTTTCAATCCTTCTATTGTAAACTGCTACTTTTTTTTTTGAAATTGAATTGCTCAACAATTCAGGACTATCAGGAAAATTTCATTTAAACGGTCATAATTCTTTATCAGTAGATCATGAATCCAAATCCTTTTAAGTTTAGCTTAGAGTCATCGAGACCTTCCCATAGTCATAATATGAAGTCGAATGATATCCGACAATTGGATATATTCCCTTGTCAATGGAAAATAATTGACAAACTATTTCCTTACCGTTTAATATTCGTATTTTTATTGAGGTTTTTCGGTTTTGATTGAGTTCCAGCTGTGTTTGGGTTCCAATTTGGGCCCCAATATGGATTAATCCATGGTTTTCGTTGATTTTGAGTAAGATTTTCATGAGATCGATTATTACTGATTCTGTCGATATCACGTTTCTTACTGATAACAGTATCAACACTTGGAATTGTACTTGATAAAACTGAAGAACGACCATCTTCTCTCGAATGAATATTAAATTGATTTGAACCATTTATTGTTCGTTGAGATCCTGGTATTGTATTACTCATGATATCTTCCCAAGAATCAGATAATGTTGTTCGTCTAGATGAAGCATTCGATGTTTCTCTTGATGTCGCTCTTGAATTTGAATGATTACGCCCTTGACTATACATTATATTTAATTCGATTTATAAAATAACTAAATATTACAATACAATGCGAGAAAGGTAATGATTGAATGAAACAAACGTTATTGCACACGTTTATCTATGTGTAAATATAAATATATTTAGTGAGGGAAACAGAATGGCGTTTTTATTTTTAAATACAAGGTTACGAAAAGAAAAAATATACACAAATAAATCAAGCATAACAACTATTCAATGCAAAAATATTAGAATAAGATAATACTATAACAAAATTATGAATCATTTATAAATCAAATATATGTCTATTCAAAATAATATGTCTCATATTAAAAAAAAAATATCTTGTCAAATATAATTGACTACTAAAATTATAAATACACTGTACTTTTATTCTTTATGTAATTGTAATTTATTATATTGTTCTAAATTGGTATAATTTTCGATCAAAATAAATTGTGTCCATGAATGACGCAAGGTCAATTTATTAGTGATAGTAATAAAGTTTTAAATAGACCTATTTTGTCCTCTTCTTTCAATAGTGTGCAGTCAAACAGTAAAAACTTTGTTGCTTGAATTTAGCTTTTTTCTTTTTTCAATAGTACGATATGTAGAAATTTGAGAATTAAATCATCTGATAGTGCATCACGTGTAACATTTTTTATTGGAAAAAAAAGAAAAGGATTTACTCGAAACAATTTAGGAAAAACACAAATGTTTTTTTTTCATCATTACTTTTCGTTCGTAAAGTATGGTGGTCTCACCTTGATATTCATGTAAAGAATGGTTGCCTGCAATTAAAACAATCATTCTTTTTCTTTTCTTTTTTTTTTTTCAAAAAATAATAGACGTAACAATCAGCTAAAGGTGTTGTCCTACGGATTATTTAACTATAGAAAGATTTATATTAATAAAATTTGTATTGAATTTATTTTTTATTAATCTTTGCACATAGCAAGTAATGTATTTCTTTTTTTTTTATTATATTATTTCATTTTTCAAAATAGAACCAATTGG